GATCCGGTAGTCCATTTTATAATTTCGTATTATTTATCCAGTTAAATATTTAGTACACTTGGAATTTGATTTAATTTTGTGTTCGTACGTTGGTTTTAAATTTTTGATAGTTGATCTGCCCCGTCATCTGCGCCAGTATTACAGTCGGGTTCTTAATAGGGTAAACCTACCAAACATGGATCATTTTTCAGAAAACCGTGGTTTTTGGGTCGGTAAAAGTGTGATGAGCATACTTTTTTGGCGTTGCTGTGTAGTTTGAACCCTTTAGGAAAGTATCCCGATGGAATTAAGTTTCTAGCTCCAATACTTTAGGAGCTACAGGGAATCCCCATGACCGCGAATTTTGATCCATGTTTGGAGGGGGGTACCCTAACATGGATCACCGAGCTAGAGTATCCCCCTTTACATATGTTATAAACAACAGTATTAGTGGAAGGCAACTTTTTTTGTTTTATCCCAAAACAACCCCTTCCTCTTTTTAGGGGTTGTGATCCATGTTTGGACGCTGGCCCAAACATGGATCAAAACTTCGGCATGTTTGGATACGTTTGTAAGGCTCGTCTGTCGACGAAATTAATAGTTTCTTATACCAACGTGCTCCCCGGACTATTCTGCTCACGGAATTATAAGTTCCTCCCGCTCATTTGCATCTTCGGGGGCGGATATAGGGCCTGGAAAAGTTGCATTTCATTTAACTAGAAATTCGGCTTTTTCTACATATCCTGACTAACCACGTGATATTGACACTCTGATTCGTTTGAGAAATGTTCCTCGAAACCGGTTCTGTAAACTTAAAACATACGTTTTTGAAATTATTGTATTTTCTTGCTCAGTCACGGGATCGTAAGGGCGCTAAGAGTGGAAGTGGACCTAATATGTGCCCCAGGTTGCCTACCCGGACCCCTCGTAAGGCGCAATGGAAGGTGTAAACGCTTGTAAAACTTTTCCTATTAAAAATTTGTGATGCTTGTTTGCATCAATCCCTTTATTTTGGTCATATTTTGCCGTGTGCAAAGTGGCATCACGCATGCACGATTTCTAATGACTGATTTTGAGGCGCAAAACTAAAGAAGTTATTTGAGGAGGGTTCAAATTCTATGTTTTTACCCCTACCCGCATTTTTAAATTACTCACGGTAAAGGATCAAAATCTTCAGAGTCTTAAAGGGCATACCTTAAAACGTCTTCTCATCGAATACCAAGTGATTCCACCGGTTAGTTTTCTTAAAAACAGGAAATAAGTAGAACCATGTATGTCGCCTTGTCTTTTGGCGCGCTATGACGAGGTCTGGTGTGCAGACTGTTTTTCGGCGCGCACCAGCGGGCAGGAGAGCGATCAGACAAAAAAATGACACATACAAATTCTGTTGCATATATAGTCCTTTACCTGGGGAACTTTCAAATTTTCAAATCGGTCGACCCAATCAGAACTTAGAACCCGCCAAACAGAAATGATCCATGTTTGGTACCTGATCCATGTTAGGTAGGTTTACCCTAACCATAAACTAACAACTTAACGACCCACGACCCCTGTGGTGGGTTGGTTAGGCAAACCTGCCGAACACAGCTGCCGACGGATTGCCTACCTCGCGCCTGCCTCCTCACGTATACTCGGGAGGGCTGGCAGACATAGCTTGACGTCTCCGCTGTCCGCTGTCCTTGTCCGTCGGGCACCGGGGAGGGAACGGTATCAATTTTGTGGTTATGTGTGGGGGTGCAGCTGCGTCGGTGCTTCCAAATCATTCAAAGTTTTCGTTTCAGTATAAACTGGTGATTTCACTTACGAACGCCAAGTTGTCGTCAGAACTCCAATTGAACGCCATGTTTTTTTTTACAATGTAAGTGACTGTTCGATTTTAGCGTTCCTGCTCTTTCCGGCAAATCGTCGACTTACTAACCTTAAACAGGTTAAAACTTGTTTTTCTTCAACGTCGATTCTGTGTGGATTCGACTTCGAAACGGATGTTTTCATGGTTTACCGGTTCCATAAGTCTATGGTCACAAAAAACCATGGTTAAATTTATGTCCATTACTCATGGACAGTCAGTCCCATGGTTATTTTACGCAGGGAAACTGTGACCTCAAGCAGGATTGCAAGGGTTGCTTATAGAGTAATATAAAAAGCTCTGGGAAGATGATCAACCAATAAACAAGTACTTTCATACTCTACATTTTTATTTTTTTGCTTTACATTTGTTTCGTTGTAAAACCAGATCATTATCTTTACGATAAATTTTCATTTAGTTGAAATTTTGAAATCTCCTTTCCTGGTCTTTTCCCTAACTTTTGATGACGTCCACGTTCACAATATCGTTACAGCAACCACTTTTAGTTTTGGTACAGCCGTCGCTCACTTTAGCCGCACGGCCATGGTCAGGCCCTGGTCGGTGGGCAGGATGGTGGCGCGAAAGTTGGGGTTGTTCGCGAGGCGCGCATTGAAGGTCTGCAGCCCGGCGATGGCCGACTTCAGATGGTGGTCGTGTATGGTGTCCAGGTTCCGCCACACGTGGCCGAATCCGAAGGCGTTGTCGCCAAAAATAGCCCCGCCGACACGAATGTTCTTCTCGGCCCAGTCCAGATACACGGGATAGTTGTCCTTGTCGGCGTCGATGAAGATGCCGTCGAACGGGCCCAGTTCCGTGAGCTGCTCCAGCACCTCGGCGGCCCGGCCGACGTGCACCTGTGGCGCCCGGAGTGTCAGTCAGCTCTGAGAGGACATGCCATACGACAGTCGTTGTTCATTGAATTAGCACTCACCGTGACTCTGTCGTCGAGACCGGCCTTTCGGAAGGACTCCATCGCCACCTCGGCGAAGTCGGGGTTGTACTCGACGGAGTGCAGGTGGCCGCCGGGCCCGAGGGCTCGCGCGATTAGAATGCCGGAGTAGCCCGCCAATGCGCCAACCTCCACCATCTGCAAAAATGATAATGTAATAAATGAATAAAATATGCGCATAAGCGTTTGGCAAGTTTGGCCTTGTTTGTGTTACTACAATTTCAAACCAATTGCTGGTACAATGCTGTAATGGAGGAACTTGGCCTGTGAGGTCTACTCACCAGGCGCCTGACAGTCCACAGTCCTGGGGCAGGCAGGTCCGACGCCGGAGTCCGATCGGCATACGTGTGTGACGGGAGGGGGGGGGGGTGCCTATCAACCAGGTGCGTGTGGCAGCAGACATGGGCGTGGGTCTATATTCCGGGTTTACGGCTATAGCATCGCTGGGAGGAATCCCCGGGGGGGCGGGGGGGATTATGAGCAAAATCGCTCTTTTCCAAGTACTGTCCTTAAATCCTTCCGATAATCATTGGATTGGTCGATAACGTCCTTGAAATAGGAAAAGTTCTGCGCTGGCCAGGCGGCTGGCCGTATGTCTCTCACCTTCTTGTAGCCCGCCATCCTGATGATCACCTCCATGGTGAGACCGTCCAACCTGTCCACGTGTTGGCTGGGCATGTTGTGACGGCTCGCGCGCTGCACCACCTCCTGCAGCACGGCGTCCGCGGGCCTGAACGTGCGCTGGCTGTAGTCCTCGAGCTCCAACAGCCTCCCCACCGGAGACCTGCATCAAGCGGGTGTTCGGGGAAAAAAGCAGGGTGCGTGAGTTGAGGGGTCTTGTCTCTGCCTCTGCTCCCCTCACTCGACAAGTTACACTGATAAATTAAGAGTGCAGCTGGCGTGCGCATGCAAGTGCTCAGCACTGTATTATTGCACACTTCCAAGTGGTTGAGTGGCTATTTGAATACTCAAAAAGTGTACACCCGGAAATTTGGACACTTTAAGGTGTCCAAAGCTTTATGGCCGACTTTACTATTAAACACTATGTAGTATTCAAATACCCACTCAAACATTTCAAAGTCTGCAATATCGTGTTGAGCACTTGTATGTGCACGCTAGTTGCATTTTACAGTGTATTTATCAGTGAACGCCACCCACCCGTCCGGTAACTTTTAGTCGGGTGAGAATAGTAATGGCCTGGTCAGAAAAAGTGTTCTTTAGAGTAATAACTCTGATATATTAAAATATTGGCTTTAGAAACCCCGATGGTAACCTAAACCTCAGCCACTAGTCGCCCCTTTCTAAGCACCCTTTGCTTTATTTGAAGACACGGCAACGCTTTCGTTAAGGAACCCAAAATCCCCGATGAACGCCTACCATCTACCGAAATTTCTACTCACGTTTTATCGTCCATTCTTTACTCCAAATTTCTTAAAATCGGATGGCACAAAATGGAATGGTACACCGGTCCACGGTCCAGTCCAGACGGGCAACTGTCTTACACTGAGCCGGCTCGCCCCGGAAACTCGCCTGCGGCCTACGCCAAACTTAGGCTACTGCCCTCGACAAAATTAAGAAACATAAAAACATAAAAAAAACCTTACCTGCGGCTGATGACGTCAGGCTATCCACGCCCTTGTCGCGCTCGTCCTGTACGTCCCGGGCGAGTCCGGATTATCGGTCGGAGCGACCGGCTGGTACCATTGAGGGGTCAGCAACCTTAAGGTTTCACGCACAGTGAATACACGAATAGTTGAATATTACTTGAATACAGGAGAAATATTGTTGAATATGGACGAATATTGTTGATTATCGAACCGATTACCGCAAGCTTCTACACTGAATATACGAAGTTGTTGACCCCTCGGGTACCATCTCTGGCACAGTCGCACATTCAAATTCAGCAGCTCCCAACGTTCGCGACGCGCCCCACCAGGGAGGGTACCGGCCGAACCGACCCACAATCCGGCCCGATCCAGAAACACCCCTATAGGCTCTGCGGGCTTCTCCCACCACTCCCTGCCCCCCCTCTAACCCTGCCTTTATCAGCACATCTCTCTTTCGCTCAGGAGGCAACATTGCAGAATTTATCGTGAGTGGCCGAGAAAGAACGTCAGTGATAACTGATAACGCAACCCAGCCTCTGAATCACGCTCACCAGCGGCCCAACGCCCAACGTGTCTATTCCGTTCCGGTGCATCGGCCTTAAACACCTATATACACAACGCATGCGTCATGGTTTCACCCTGGCTTGAAGGCGCTAGACTCCAATTTGATTTTCTGAAGAATCGCGCCATGGCTAACTATGACGCGTGCTTAGACCAACGCACCTGAACGGAGTAGCCTGCAGCCGTTCGCCCCAGGCAAGCAAGGAATAGGCAGCCATTCCAGGCCGCATTGTAATGTGTGAGATAAGTTGCCTAACCAGCAGGCGCATGGAGCCGCACGCTATCTAACCACAAAAACAGCCAACCGACTCTTTTAATTTTAAAACGTCGTGTGCATAAATTCTGCATGGAAATGAAAGAATAATTTAAATGTAGAGGTGAGTGGGGCAGAGAGGAAAATTCAACCTGCGTGGATCAAATAGAGCCACTTTGAATTTCGGTAATTGATATTCCAGTATATGAGACAATACGAGAAATTATTTTGTATGTATTAGGCGTCGCCCTTGGGAACAGATCGAATGATATTCGCGTATGAACTGGCTCGCCCTTCCGCTAAATGTAATTGCCAGCTCCACTTCGCTGCTCCGACAACTCCGTTCAGGGGGCCGGCCTGCTTTAGCCTGTTGATGGGGTTGGCGTTTGGCCGGGTTAGGCTACACGTGGCATGATTTGATTTAAAAGATCTTAACGCAAAACTGGTGTAGATAATAAGCTGTACATTTTCTTTTATTTTGTGATATTTTGTTTTTTGTTGTTAGAGCTAATAATTGTCATTCTTAGGTACATTTCCATTCCATTAACATTTCGAAATCTCTCATTGCGTTCGTGTCCTGTCCGAATCGTGACTTTTCCCAAACTTTTGATGACGACCTTCTTTTTAACTTCTTCACACAGCACTCATAGTTTTGGGACAGTCGGCGCTCACTTTAGCCGCACGGCCATGGTCAGGCCCTGGTCGGTGGGCAGGATGGTGGCGCGGAAGTTGGGGTTGTCCGCGAGGCGCGAGTTGAAGGTTTGCACCCCGGCGATGGCCGGCTTCAGATGGTGGTCGTGAATGGTGTCCAGATTTCGCCACACGTGGCCGAATCCGAAGGTGTTGTCGCCGAAAATGGCGCCGCCGACGCGAATGTTCTTCTCGGCCCAGTCCAGATACACAGGATAGTTGTTCTTGTCGGCGTCGATGAAGATGCCGTCGAACGGCCCCAGCTCCGTGAGCTGCTCCAGCACCTCAGAGGCCCTGCCGACATGCACCTGTGGCGCCCGGAGTGTTAGCTCTGAGAGGGCATGCCGTACGACAGTCGTTGTTCATTGAATTAGCACTCACCGTGACTCTGTCGTCGAGGCCGGCCTTTCGGAAGGACTCCCTCGCCACCTCGGCGAAGTCGGGGTTGTACTCGACGGAGTGCAGGTGGCCGCCGGGCCCGAGGGCTCGCGCGATTAGAATGCCGGAGTAGCCCGCC